AATAAGCAATCCTGAAAAATATTTGGGGGTGCTTAACTTTTTTCCAGGTGTATATATATAGTAGACAACAAACCTAGCTGTAATAATGCATCAATGATTTGAAAGAATAAGAAAAAATAACTTTCATTTTAACTATTCCTCATTGTACTACTACTATTTACAATACAAATGATTAAGTTTAATACAAGATATAATATTTCTCTATTGCTGTATCTTTTTATACAAATCAAAATGCAAAAATTCTTAAGTACATTAAAACTTGTAATAAACAAGATTATCAAACTGATAGAGAAACATTTTATAGTTATACCTTTCGCACACTGCTTTCCAAAAGGTTTCCAAGCTTATCAACAAGGGTGGTGAAATCTGGACGTTCTGTTGGTACCTCCAACCAACAGTTCTGCATTATTTTGTACCTGTAAGGGAATATTCAAATAATCTATAAATTATAGGAAGTCAAAGAAACAATATGATAAATATAAAATATTTATTGTGAACAACCAAGCTCACAGCAAAACAACTAAAAATTCAGAGGTTGTGATTACTAGAGGAACTGGAGGTAAAGTCCAGATGATATTACTTTTTACTTGAAATTAGCCAATACATAATTACACAACAATTTTCTTATCTTAGTACTTATTTTTAAGGATACAAAAAAAGAGGATTTGTCAATTGACCATTAAAAGGGGAAAAAAGACTGCAATTTGTTTTTTAAATCAGTGTGTGTTGTTGGGTATCTGTTTCTGTATTGAAGAGAATGTAGACACATTGAAATACAACTTGTTTGTATACTAGATAGCTTCAACAAAGTCATGAAAGACCAATTACACTATGTGAGACAGTCAAATATAAAACAACATCGGAATTAGAAATCACCATTGTCAATAGCTCAGGTGGACTTCAGTAAAGCAATAAGTATGATTGTTAATGACCAAAAGATAAATAACAGACTTTACGAGTAAGGCATATAATTAGGAAGATCTACTTCAGCCCTGAAAGTTACACAGCTTGTTTGAAATTTTGCTGAGATCACTATAATTAGTAGCAATGCCATTAAATGCATGTACATTTCATGAATGAGTCAAGGTTTCATGTCTCTACCAATAATTGAAAGTTTCTTGTGCTTAGAGAGCCAGAGATGAACAATACTGATAGTGCCTGTCCTTTTATAATCTGTAAACAATGTTATTGATTCTTTTCAGATACAACATATGACCCTTTCAACACCTGCTTAACTCTGGAGTTTGTCTTCGCTTTCAGTAGGGATTGTAAAGCCATACCATGTCACTTTGATGAAATACAGTCTTATCAGCATTAACATCATAGCAACTGTTCTCTTTATCACAATCTGATTTAAGTCTTTTCCAAGTAAAGTCATGCATGACATCAATAATGTTCCTTAGTCTCTCTGCATATTCTGTGTAAGATTCTGCTGAGCAACTATCCTCCAGATTGTGAGTACAGAAGATTCAATGGTACATCATGTTCTCTCCCAATTATCAATAATGATGGTGTGCTGTCTGTAGCATCAGGTACTGGTATTCTATAATTCAGAAGTAGCAGTAGAAGATACTGATCCAACATTTTTTTTTATGTCCTCCACATAAATTGCTGAGTGATTCAAAAGTGTATGGTTGTATCTCTCCAGCATGCTATCAAAAGATAGAGGAAGGGCTGTTGTCCTGGTCTTTTTGATTCTAAGGATCTAACATATTTCCATAAACACAATTCATGCAAAGTCCAGTCCTTGAGCTGAGTGAAGCACCATAGGCAACCCAAATTTTCAAATAAATTCATTAACTAGTTTCTTAGCTAGAGTTTCTGCTTTCTAGTTAGGAATACCATTTGGTGGAAGAGCCCATCACAACCATGACGTATTTATTCACACTGTTACTCTGTGGTACAGGCCCAAACATATTGACAGAAACTCTCTCAAGTAATGCTCTAACAAAATACTGCTGTAGCTGCCCACACTGATGATTTTATGAACCTTTTTGTTCACAGTATAGTTCATATGCTTTACACCAATTCTCTGCAGATTCCAAGCATTTAAACCAATAGAAGTGTTTTCTTACTTTCTCCAGTGTCTTCTTAACACACAAGCATCCAGCTGTAAAAATTACAGGGTGCTTCTGAATGTATAGAGGCTATGGAATTACCAACTGTTGTCATTCTTTCTGTCTACTGACATCTTCCTACTTCCAACATAACATGCCCTATTGTAGGCATAATGATTCCCACTGTGCCCAATCTATATTTTTCTTTTGGCTGTATGAAGCAACTACTTATCATGAGGTTTTTCTGCACTAATCTTGATTCATAGAATAATATATCCATGTAAACAGTTTTACTAAATATGCTTTTTTCAGATAAGCTGATACACACACAAATCCTAATCTGACCTTTTGGACTTGAAAGTACTCATGTTTCAAATGTTTTAATTAATAGTATACAGATAATGAAACCAATTTTATAACTGTGTACAGCGAAAAATAGTGCTTCTAAAATATACCCTACCGTCCATATTGTTATTAATTTTGCTGATGAACAATTCAGCTATATAATTAAATTTAAGGTTTGGATCTCAATACTTCGAAAATCAAAGCAGTGTTTCTTATGAGTAAAATTCAGTTAAATTTGTTCAAGATTCCTTTAAAAAGATTTGCATTATCGTTTTTCAAAACTTACACATCAATGGGACAAAACTCTGGTTTATCCATTCTGTAACCATCCTTCAGTTTCTTGTAAAATTCTCCATCTACATCAATTCCTGGATATGGATTACCCCCTAAGGTAAAAAACTCCCACAGCATAACTCCAAAGGACCACCTGTGTCATGAACAAGCATTTATTAAAATTATTTCTTATATTAATTTCACATTACTGAAATCGTTCTCTAAATAGATGAATAAATAATAAAATAAACATTTTTGCTTGTTGAAGTGTGGCTAATGGCTTGAGAATTTAATTAACAATCAGTAATGAGTTTTCCACTCATTAATTGAATTAACATATCCAAAAAGATTTAAATGATACAAATAATTATCTACATCTTGAAAAAAAATTCTAATATAGTTTAATAAAAATATTAGTAATACAATAACTATAATATGATTAATGAAGAGAAACAGAAAGTATTCAGTGTAAGTTCTTTACTTTCTCAATGTTTCACCTTATTGCTTTATCGAGAGACAGACGTACTACCGAGCACAAGTCTAGATTTAAAAGAACAAACAGTTGATATATTGCAAAATATTATCAATGTGTTCTTACATATCATCTGACATGCATTCAAGAATAAAAAGTTAACAATAATAAATATATGACAAGAATATAAACATGATGAAGAATATATCCAACTAAAAGAGAAAACAAAAAGATAAGTCATGAAGACAATAACATCCAATAAATATGTAGGGGTAAACTGTAAATGTAGGTATAAACACTTATATACACACTTTAAAAAAAGAAATAAAGTAGAGGTATTAATATTCCATATACACATATACATAAATCAACCATTTAAAGTAGAAATCTTCTATGTATGTTAATTTAAAGCTTCTCACATCTCAGTAAAGCAGACTGCTTGTACTTTCTGCTCACGAAAAACATGACATTTTCTTTCTATTTAAACACTAAAAGGGTGATATGAGCATAGATTGTCCAAATCCTTAATAAAATGTACCGCAACTGCATTCTTTTCTATCTCATCATTCATTGTGGCACAGAGATATTACATGCAATTCTTTTTTATAGGTGTCTCTTTTAGCATTAAAATAAAATGCCATGGTTTCCTGGACATAAAGTACAAGGAGTCTATTCTCACTAGATCTGAGAAGCCTTCAGTTAACAGGGACAGATGATTGCTACTTTAAATGCTTGATTTATGTGTATTTTAATACCTTCTGCTTTATTTCTTTTATAAATAGTGTATATATATATATATACTGTGCTAACAAAATTAACAATTTACTTTTACATATTTATGAGACGCGAATGTTTACATGACTCTTTTTTTTTTTTAAATGAATATTTTATTCACCATGTTTATATTCTTGATATAAATGTATTATTGGTACCTTTTTATTGTTGATAACCTGGTCCCATATCAGATGATGATATGTAAGAACACATTGTTATTATCCTGAATTATATCTGCTATGTTTATGAATAACCTTTTAACCATTCCATTTTGGTCTTTATTAACCCATTCACTGCAGCTGGGACACATATTTCCCAGTGCAGTGGGAAATATACATCCCAGCCACAGTGAAAGGGTTAAGTCATGATATGCACATGCAATCACATTTACTATACATATTCTAAAATTATCAAATTAAACCACAATTTATGTAATAACTTATGAAACAGTTCTTTGCATAAATGCTGCATGTAATCCTCAAACATTTAATATGTTGTGTTTTATTTGTGCATATAAAAGCATTTTATAGTTCCATATGATAAAGTAAATTAGGGTTTTGAATGATATTTTATTTAACTTTAATTGTTTTACACACAGAAATCACAGTCTAAAATATAATGAAAATTACATTTTATAATTTTCAAAATACATATAAATCCTTTCTAAAATGAAAATTAACTTTTTAGTATGTAAATTCAACATTATTTCAACAAATACCTCAATAAAAATAAGCTATATAAATAATTCTGTAAAATTCTAAATTAATTTTTTTTTTAAAACTAAATGTATTTCAAACTTAGCAAATCCTAAATACAATGGTTTACATTTTCTTCTTTTCAAAATTTCTGTGGATGGGTTGAAATAAAACAAGCTTGCAATCTTCAAAAGTGGTTTTCAAAATTTAAAATTTATCATTTCTCTTCTGTCTTTGTACATTTTGATTTTCCTACATTTTCTTTACGAGTGATTGTCTAAGCAGAAGTGTTAGCATATGTGAATGTTAGGTTACAAAATCCATCATACAATCCTATTTACAGAAAACTATCGATTTCAGTTGATTCAAACATGTAACTACTTTTTTTTTAATGGCAAGAAACCAAAAACTCTTCTCAAACTAGGAATAACCTATTTTTTCAAAAAATATAAGTATCTACATATTAGTCAATTTTGAACCAATTATACAAGTTTCAAACAGGCATTTATTTCAACTTACACATCACTCTGAATGGTAAATACTTTGTCTCTTATTGACTCAATTGCCATCCATTTCACTGGTAGGGGACCCTGAAAAACAGATAATAACATTAAGTACATAAAATCAAATACCATACATTTATGAAAGAGTCAAAATATCTATAACAAGCTCTTACTGATAATGTTATAATGAATGACAATACAACCAAAGCTGTAATCTTTTAAAAGAAACTAATATTAACACAACTTTTAAATAAATAAAAAATAAACATATTTTTGTCTTCAAATTCTGAAAAAGTATTATTCTAAAGAAAATTTTAATGAATTTAGCTTGATAAGGTGTAAATCATGTGTTTACAATATATGCACAGACTTTACTGTTAAGTTTTGTTTAGATAATGCTATAATTAGACAAGTTTCAAACATACATAGATACAGAAAAGACTATTTTTTGTTCATTTGTTTGTTGTTAAGTGCAACACCTCAGGTACTGAAACCCAATTTTTATCACTGAACCACTGGGAGACAACTGTTGCTTTACCAAAGTCTTAAGAATGTTATATATGAAATATGTTTTTTAAAACTCTAACAAAACAACTGACAAACACATATTTTGTAGTGCACAAATATATTCTTATTCTTGCATTATACATTATTTTACAACATTGGAGTTTTCTTTCAAGTAGACTGGTTAGGTCCCCTGGTGGGACAGAAGCTTACAGACTTACAATGCTACAATCCGGGGTTTGATTCCCTATGGTGGACACAACATATAGCCCAATGCAGCTTTGCTCTAAAACAACCAACTAAAGTGGTTAGAAATTATATTTTACAAAGGATAAAATTATTTTGATTAATAAAATGCTTTCTAAAAGTAATATAAAATGTATACTTACATCTCCTTTCTTGACATAGTTAGAGTCTTTATAGCAATCTTTTGCTAGACCAAAGTCACAAATCTTTACAACATTGTCTTTTGATAAAAGGATGTTTCTAGCAGCCAGGTCTCTGTGAATGAGCTGAAAAACATTTTGTTCAAATTCAGATCCGCCACTATAAATCACTTATGTATTACATTTCTTCAGCATATTAAAAATAATAATATTATAAACTGCAGTTCACTATGTTATCACTCAAAAGTAAATCTGCTAAACTGTTTTAGTTCTTTTACCTTTAGGGCTATATGAAACTGAGCATAGAGAGGGTTAGTTTTAATAAACAAGTCTTTGATAATATTTGAAGGACAACGTTATGGTAAATTGTAAGAGCAGAGTCTATACTGTCAAACAGGAAAAACAATTCTGTTGAAGGGTCACAACAATATGCTAGAATTAGCATATGAATTCAATGAATCAAGAAGTTAAAACTGTCTACTGTTATTCCTTATTGATAATCACTAAGACTTATACATTATGTAAAATAATATTTGAAATTGTGTGTTCTTGAATATCAGGTAAAAGAATGATAAATTTTACTAAAACAAATCAATGACTAAGTAAACCTATAATTTAAGCCTTTTCAAATGTACTTGTTCTTTGCATAATATTTCATGAAACAATTTCAGCATAAATAACTATCTAGTATTTTTTCATTTACTGCAAGTTATAGATTACTGCTTTGTAAAATGTTACTTTACCATTAATCTAACTCTCACTAGGAGACAAGGTTTGTAAATATAATTTTTTTATAATAAATTATCATAATAACATTTATTAGAAAACTTTCACAATACCAGTAATATTGACATTATTTTACATCAATAGTGTCAAATAAAAACATACAACATCTTTTCATGAGGAATCTACCTATATCCACATTTCAAGATTACCCTACCCATTACAAATTTAGAATTACCAATGCCTAATTAGGTTTGTTTGGTAAATACATAAAAATAAATAACCAGGTATACAAGAGTTAAAAACTGATTCTCACTTGGAGTTTGTTTGAAATGCTAATATAAAAACAATGATATGTGTTGTAGCAATTTGTCTTTGATGCTATGCTAAAGTTACACTGTTAGAGCTGTTCAGTGAGTTTTAACTGATCAAAATACGTATTTAAGGAGAGAGGTAAATATTTCAGCTTATATATGGTAATACTAATGTAATGGTGTTCAACCAACATTAAATCTACAACAGTATTTGAAGCCAACAGCTAATATCCATGTTCCATAAGTAAGGTATATTATGTTATTTCTTAATTGTTACTTTCATTAACAGTATTGGTTAGAATGTTTAGTATTATCTAATTCTGTTATTTTTAATTCTTATTATTAAACTTTTATCACAGATATTGTTTTGCTTTGTTAGCTTACTAGATGTATTAAGGACAAACCTAAATCTCCTAAACTGGATGAATCTTGTGAGATAATTTTGGATTTAGGGCAAAAATATCATTAACAGAGATGGTATCCAAATGATGAAACAATGCATTATAATCTTTATAAGTAAGAACATAAGAAAAGTATATTCAATTAGCTATACTCATTACCAAGTTAATTCTTATTTTTGTTCTACATAGGTAGCTTTGCTCTGATCAGAAGTCAATTTTAATTCTGCATTTGATTGCATGGTTTTAGCATATACATCACAAGAAAAGATAAAGAAATGCTTTTGGAGATAGGCTAACCCATTTAAGCTGGTTTATATCTATATTTCGTTTTTGTGCAATAGTTAATTACAATTTTGGATAATAGCTGATTTCAAGTTACACAAAAATTGCTATAATGAGCACAGACTTACTTTGGTTGAAAACTACTATTACAATTTATAAGTTTTTTAACATGGATTAATGTGATTTCAGCTCACTCAGACAAATGGAATTGTTGGATAAAAAAAGTGAAGAGGCTCAATTATATTGATACTTCATAACTATGCTTAGAATATTAAAAATGTTATCTTTGGTTAAAGCTTTTCTGTGAAGCAAAAGTCTATTGTATAAAACCTCGAACTATATAAGTATGTAGCTTTAAACCTATTCATTAATCAATCAAGTTTTACATTATGAATTTCTGATATTCTTTTTACTGTAGTATTGAGAATATTTTATATGCCAAATAATAATACATTAGCATGTAAGGAAAAGCAAATGATAATTGCATTTTTTTCACTATTTTGTAAATAATGTTAAGGTATCTACATCGTTATGCTTACTGTGGGTGCTGTTTCAGAGTCCTGAAGAGTTCACTTATCAAAACCAAGGAGTCAGGTTCACTTTGTACAATGATCTTATTTATCTAATTACCAATCATCTAATTCAAACACTCAGACATTATGAAATGACTGTCACAGCCAGAGTAAAAATCTAAAAAATTAAGCAACTGTTGGAAACAAAAAATAAGAAATATATTTGTGTGGCAATATATACTGACTTTTCTGGACTCCAAGTATTCCATTCCACGAGAAACTTGGAAAGCCCAACAGAGTAAGTCACAAGTTGATACAAACACGTCTGAATTCTTTCCTTCTTCCTTGACAGAGTCCCTGCCAATATATTCTGAATTAACAGTTGAACCTGAATTGTTCACATCTGTGAACTCTACAGACTCAGACATATTTACTTCTCCACTATATGAAGTAAAATCTGAGGTCTGACCATGCATTAGCTCCACATACTTGAGGGATTTGTTCCTGTAAGATAAATATATCAATATAATCTCAATCTAAGATGGCATAAAAATTAAATAAACTTAACAACTTAAGAGTATCTTAAAGAATCTACAATGTAGAATGAATTATATTGGTCTAGCAAATATGAGTGTTTAGTTACAATATGTATTGTAACCATAGGTGTCAGAACATAGAGGGCAGCACCAAATCTAGCATTCCATTAATTTTGATTGATTTATAATTTCACAAAGTTGAATTGAATTTTTGGAACAATATAACAACTCTCTATGAAAAGAAATGGATTCTGACATAAATTCATAGTTTGAGATAAAGAGATGCAAGTTAACAATGATCTCCTTATATTCAAATTTTGTTTTTTTTTTCTCCACGATTTCATTCAAATCTTGGACACCACTGCATCAAAATGAGCCCAAATTGCCACTCTAATTTTTAAAAATGTTTCACAGCTTGTGAACTCCTTAGTTTCTGGCTGCCTTCAATAGGTTCTGTTCTCCCAAGCTTGAATCACTTCCAACTTTTCCCCCTCCACACACTAGAGTTGGACAATTTACCCAATTAATTGATATAATCGATTACATTGGTTAGTGTCATGTAAAATAATCAACTAATTGAAATTAATATTTTTGATTCTTCCAACTGCCCAAGTAAATGAAATGTTACCATTATGATTTCTCAATTTTTATTCCATAAGCTACACTACATTAATATTTATGGAATGTAACCTTTACCAAAGATGGGAGACATCTTTTTTACAGTGAGGAAACTCGCTACACAAAGAACATCCATATGAAAATTTACAAAAATTACTCGAATACATCTGAAAAATAAAGACATTCTACACTAGTTAACGAACAGTAAGATATGATGGTATTAATATTATTACATTGTCAGACCCTATTTGAAGCCTTGTAATGGTCAAAAGGTATTTTAGCCTAGATTTAAGAGCTATAAATAGTGAAATTCCTTCACTTATTCATGTGTGTACATGACTAGGAAGGTACTATGAAATATGTAGCATAACAATACTGACACCCTCTGTTAATTTGTTATGAAGATTATTCTAATAAACTATAAAAAATCTTCAAAAGTTTTCAATTTAATTCTATTAAAACAGCTCTAGAATTATCTGTACCACTTAAAGTACTTCTTAACACTAAAATGAAAAGTACTTGCATTAGCTTTCTGACAAAAAGCAATTTCCAATTACTTGTTTTGAATGTAAAAATGTTCCATGTTTTTCAGCTCTTTAGAGTCACATGAATATGTAATTGTTATTAAGTGATAATATAGAACATAAGTTCTTATTTAAACAAATACATATTTAGAAAAATTATATATTAATTTTTGGCTCTTATTCAAAAAACAATTTTTATATCTTATTCTTACTTGTATGTTGGATTTTCAACAGCCATTACACTATCAATGCTTCGATATTGGAAATAGTTTTCCTTATTTTTGTCCTTTAATCGAGTTGATCCAGGCAATGTGCTGATGTTTGGGTCAATCTTTCCTGTCTTAGGATTAATTTGATTTATGTAGTTCTGTTGATGCTGAAGGAGATAATGACGCAGGTTACCATACTGACAGTATTCCACTATCATCATAAGTTCTCCTAATGAAATGAAGTTAAAAGATTTGTAATACATTCTGTAAACTTAATGTATCAAAGAAAGGTTCAATTCATATTGTAAGGACTGTATTTAAAATAGGCTATGAATAACAAGTGTATGAAAATTATTAAACCAAGAACTCAGATACATTAATTATACCAAAAGTCATAACTTTTTTGCAGTGCCATCTTAATGATATTGGGGGCCCTGGGCTAAGTGTGAATTTGGGCCCCATCCACAAAGGTCACACTTAAAAAATTACGAGTACAAACAATATATTTTGGATGGGAGCCCTGGGCTACAGTCCAGTTAGCCTATGCTTTAAGACAGCACTGCTTTTTTGTAGTGTACTACTAAAAGGTGTTTCCTGAGTATTACTGTGTTCCTATTTTATGTACATTTGTTTCTGTCCTTTAGCTGAGCTGTCTTTAATGTTTATTTCTTTATTATGCCAACTCACACTCCATCAGTTAATATGTAACACTACTCTTATAGTATGAAAAAAAAGAAAAGAGAACTACGAACTGCATAAACAAGATTGTGGAATTTTAGACTAAATATTGCTTGAAACTCAGTTACAGCTTACAAGTTTTGTGAGTTATAATTAATCACAGAGTTTGCAAGTATTGTACTGTTAAAGAAATTTTGCTGTGATCATTTACAAAATTTAGTATTTTTCTGGTTCTTTTTTGTAATTCCTTATGTTGAGGTTGAATAAGAAGTTTGGAGTTCAGTTCTGTCACTTATAAAAGTCTTGGTCCAGTATTTTCGAACTGCAAGTTTAATTTTGATCAACTTGTGAAAGATTTTTTTTTTAATTCTGGTATTAATGTTTCAAATATTTTTAGTGTATAATAATAATTTGTTACAGCTTCAGACACTAGAGAGATGCAGAGTACAAATAAATTATAATAACAAATTAGTTCACTTTATTTTCAAAGTCTGTATTTATAATTTAAATTATATAATCTCACCTTTAATGACATTTCTAGTAACAGCTCCCAGCAAATTAACTATATTCAAATGACGTCCTAAGAGAATTAAAATCTTCAATTCTGCCATCAATGCTTTCTTCTGATCAGTATTTGCATGCTCTAGGTGTGTAAGATATAAGTGAATCAGCAGCTAATTGTATTAGGCTGCTTAGTATAGTGCATAATTTTTACTTTAAAAACTAATACATTTTTACACACCAAAAGAGAAATATATACTTTCTACATATAATTCATCAAGGTCCTTCTACTACAAAAACTAAGTAAAGAATGTAATTATTTTGGTTTTAGCACTCTCAAAAGCATACTTTAAAATCACAAATACTGTGTTATGATTATTGCAAAAACCTGCCAAGCTTTGTCTAATTACTGTACATTAAACAACCAAGTGACTTAATTCAAACACATATAAAGACGTTCTTCTTATAGTAGCTACAGATACCAAACACAAGAACTCATAATGCTTTTTGTTAATAATACTGATTGGTAATCTAGATCAAAATTTTATCTGACAATACACCAGAGTAAGTTTTATATACATGTATATATATATATATATATACATATAAGGATAATGCTTTAGCAGTCATAATTAAAATAACAGTGATTTTCTGAATATTGTACTTTCATTGATTAAAAAATTTGCATTATATAATATTATGCAACAGTGTGAGTACACACATTAAGAAGATAAAATAAACTTAATAAAGCAATACTTTTTAAAGAAAAAATTACTTAGTAATTACAGTTTGTGCCAAACAACATTCAGTGAGAAGCTGAATGCAAACATATTAAAAAATCATGTTATAATATCATATGAAAAGTAATGTTATTATTAAAGTTAAAACAATTTAACATTTTAGCAAATTATATTCATTTATTACATAAAATATTATTCATTAGGATGGTATAATGAAAAATTAAGAAAACAGTCAGTAACCAAAATAAAGTTTAGGTAAGAAAAAAAATATTATACATCTCAAAAAATGTAGAAAAACTGAAATAGGACACAAAAATGTGTTAAAAACTACCCAAATTTAATCTCAGCTCACTAGTTAAGGACTACTGACAATGTTCATGATACAATGCAACCAGCAGAGACTTAGTTACAAATAATAGATCCTAAAGAACATCCTACATTATGATAAAGCTAAAAACTGAAAAACAAAGCAAGTACCTTTAAGCATTTTGACTGCAACAGTAGTAGTTGCTTCACCATGTTCTAGGCCAATAGCCTCTGCTTTTACTACCCTTCCAAAAGCTCCTTGGCCTAATGTTCTACCTAAAAGATAAAGTAATGACATTAATAACTTTACTTAAAGACAGCACTTATATACATATAATGTTCATTTAAATTATTTCAAAAATTCTTATTTTGTTCAAAATGAGAATAATTTAAGTAAATCAATTTTGTCTCCTCAAGCTACAGACTTGTTTACATACAGTTTCACAGACTGCATCATATGTTTCATGTTTTTGCCTATCACAATAATAACAAACTTACAAAAAATTGAACAAAATCATTCATTTACAATGTAAAATAAATATGGAACTCAGTAGTAATTAATGTTAACATTGATGGTTTTCCTTTTAGATTTTATTGTGTTCATTTATTATTAAGCATAAAGCTACCCAATGGACTATCTGTCCTCTTCCCACCATGAGTATTAAAACCAGACTTTTAGCATTATAAGCTCAAACTTACTGCTGAGCCATATATACAGACTTACCTTATGAGTATACTATTATTCTTATGTTGTTTTTATGCAAGTTTTAAAAACTTAACTGTATATGTGACATTAGACATTTATTTAGCTTGAAAAACTCACTGTATAATATTGATTGTATAACTACAATACAAAGTAATTTATAGTCACCTAATTTTAGTTGTTCTTTTGGAAATTCCCAGCGACTGTCATAGGGAAGAAGTTCTATTTGATTGTCCAACGGTAAATTAGGGTTCAATAAATGTAAATGTCCTCTCTCAAACTGGGCATAACTAAAAAACTCCATCTCCATTTTGTACTTCTAAAAGTATGTAAAATTGTAAATTTATATATTATGAAATGAACATTTACAGAAACTCAAATGATAAACCTAGAAATCTTAAATTCACTTTTTAGTTACCTTTATGAAATAATTCAAATCCATAAACTTTATTTATTATTTATTTATAGAGTATTATGAAAGTTTCAAATTGCTTTTAAAAATAATAAGCCATTTTATCCATCAACAAGATATTGTATTTACACCAAATGTAAATTGTTAACATACCCTTTCAGTACAAATCTTTTTGATCAACAAAATAGCCAAGATGAAAAGTCCAACTCCAGTTATAACAAGCACACTTATAATAACTTTCTGGCTACTACTGATGACAAAAGGGACCCCACCTGATAATGAAAAGATAGAATGACAGAATATTTTAGTGCTTTTGAAACAAAACTTTTACATATAACAATACAAAATATATTCTAAAGATTTCACATCTGAAAAAAACAACAACAAACGACCTGTGTGATTTAAATAAACTGGTGGGCAGCATTTCTTTGACTGAAAATTGAATACTTAATAAAATCATGAAAGTTAACATAGAACTATTAAGTAAAGGATCACACAATAATATCAAAAGGATTTAATCATTTCATTAGTATTAAAGATATCTATCAATTACTTAGAATATGTGTAGAGTTATCTCAAAATATATAACAATGGTACATTTAAATTCAAAACCAAAAATTATTTTGTCACTGTACCTTAGATCAAAATATTCTTTACATCTAATAAATTAACACAAAGAAACAAATTTCCTTAAAAACTGTATTTACAAACATAAGTAAACTATCAAATACTTGATCCCTGGCATATTAGAATTAAAATATTTATATTTCATATTTGATACATTAAAAATATTTAGTGTTAATTTTCTTATTATTAATAAGCTTTAGAATTTGGAATTGTTTACTTACTGTGGTCCACTAATAACACTGTACTAACACGGATCTGACCTCCTTTGTTTTCTGCTACACATTCATAAGTTCCTGCATCATTCTGTACAACTCTTCTAAAAATAAGAAGTTGTTTATCATCTTTATATTCTACTCCAGAAAGACTAGCTGCATCAAATAGTTCATTGTCTTTATACCATGTGATATTAGGCTGAGGTACTCCACTAGAATAACACTTCAGCTGAAATTCTTTGTTATGTTCAGCTTTTGTCTCAGAATTGTTCAAGTTTGTCAATGTGTAGAATGGTTTCTTAATTGCTAAAAAAATAAAATATATATAAAAAGATACATTATTTGACAATATCAGTCACAAAAAAATTTTAGAGAATAACTTTTTGTTAAGAAACACTTACACCATGACTGGTAATAATTTCAATCACATTATTTTTAACTGGCCTTGCACAAGTTTCCAATAAGAAGAATGTATTATAGCAATGTAAAAATAATGTCTTCTGTAAACTACTGCCAGCAAAACCAAGTACTGAAACTTACGAAATAAAACCTGAAAAATGCTTTACATATAGTGAAAAATGTTCCTCACAGATAATGTGAATGAGAATTTATTACCACTAAGTAAGGGTGACAGAGAAAATTGAAAAAGATCCTATAGGGTAAAGAATGCAATGAAAAATAAAGATGTGTCAAATAAAAACAAAAAGCAAGGTTGATAGGAGATTACAGTCCCTCGTCATTCCCTGGGTATATAAATAAGACAGGCCCAGAAAAAAAAGAAAATAGAGCAACTTACTATAACACACTGATTCCAATGCATCTCTCATGCAAATCATCATGCAACAACCCTCCATCAATAAGAATGTGACATACTCTCTTGATGCATGTGATTCCCTCTATTTAATTCTACTGAACTATCACTTCAAATTTTGGCAGAAAATGGAAGCACCACTTTTCAGTGGGGAGAAAGGGTGGGAAATGTGAAAGGAAGTAAGTATCTATTGGAAATACACTTTCAGTATAGAAAAATTATAACTTCCGATACAGTACGTTACCTTTTCTCACATAAATAGCTAGAATCCCACATTGAATAGGTAGAGAGACTGGTGCGAGGGAAAGAAAGAAGCATCCTTCAAAAGGGTCAAAAGGACACTCCCTAAGATGAGGTAGTCAGATTCTAAGATCTGATGTGGGAGGACGCACCACTTCTGAACCAGGTATACCCTTCGTCTATTGCAGAAAGATGTCACATATATAAACAGTGGAGCAAGTGGGAGAGAACTATGACCAGATAGTGGTCCAAACCATGCACTTTTTATGAAACTCAATCCCAATAAATATAAAAGTGGGTAATATGAAACTGATGTGCCCCTAGTTGTAGAGTGGCTGGGGCACAATGGACCATACATAGCAAGTAAACTATATCTAAAACACATGCTGCTGGGAACTGACATCCATGCAGAGATAGGATGAGATGTAAGTCAAGTATCAATGTCCATGTGTGGTAGGAAGGAGGATCATTCCAGTGGTAAGTGAACTACAATCCAAAACCTAGCCATCTGGCAGGAGTGGGAAAAAGGACCATACCATCTTCACCTCAAGTTCAAAAGACCGGAGGGAATCTAGTACCCCCTCTCCCCGACTCCTGAACAGGGCACATGTTAATATGATAAAGTGATATATCAATCTTGGAACCCAACATCCAGTATCAAAATCATGTCTACATAATGTAAACCATCTCCTTCAAAAATGAAATTTACCAGAATTACCCCAAGCACATTAATTTCCTTGGAATAAGAAACATCAAGAAATAGTGGAAAAGAAAGAACCACGACACGGGTGGGGTATAAATAAGGGAGAAATATTGACATCTGTAATACATATGTGAAATTTACGTTGATTGGTTCTACTCTAAATCCAAAACCCAGCCACTGGGAACCAACATCCATGTGGGGGGTAGGATGAGTGATCCCAAAAGAAGAGGTGAACTGCAATTTTGACGTCTCACTCCCAGTTGTTTTTATGTTTCATATTGGAGAATATCACATCATCTACACCAGCAGAACACCACCACCCTACTCTCAACTGAGTGGTTTTTAAATCATTTCTTTATTTTGTTTGTATTTCATTAACCTATTCAGGAAAATTCCTCTATGGTCCACCACCCCAGCAGCTTGGAACTGGAAAGTTGTAAGGATTCACAAACTTTACTAGAAGAAAAATGAGGGTGAAATGCAGTGGAGAGTTCGGAGGGATGACAACACCTGAGACAGTGCAATGGATGACCATGAAACCTTATTTTTAAAAGCAAACCATACCAATTTATTCAATACAAGACATAGCAGGGATGGGCAGCTATCGCCTACTGCTTTACCCATGTAGTCCATGGGTGGGTATGGTCCAGGATGAGCAAGCATATGAAGCAATTCTGTTGTGAAGATAAACCTACAAGCAATCTTGTGGAACACCCCATCTCTGCAATGTGCATTGTGCGAATGCCATGGAATTATAATATGCAAGTCGACATGGCTTGACAGTGTGGATTTAAACAATTAAAGAATACCTGGTCAGGCACCCCTTGTTGCAGAGCAGGATTCAAAGAATGAATAATAATAATAAAAAGGGAAATATGACCCATGAAAAGAAAATAAAGAATAATAAAAGACAACTTACCCAGTCAGAGTCTCACTGAAGTCTGAAGAATGGTTACAGGCAGAAAACAATAACCCAAAGAGGAAGAAACTGCAATCCTATGCAACGAGTGAGAGATGAACATATATCAGGAGTAGTCTACATGGCAGATTAAAGAATTTCTTCCAATGGATGGCCAAGGTAAGACGCCAGAGAAAAGGTAAAGTGTCAAATTTGATGAGAAGACACCTGAAACAAAGTACGGAAGGAAGATGACAAAGAGGAATAAGCCAATCGAATCAAAAGCCAAACCCAATTGATGAGAGTGGAAGGAGAAAGATCACAAACAGAGGATGGCTGCCAAAAACTAAAGAGGTGGGAATGGGCATCATGAAAGGAAGCTGTGCAGGGAATTTAACAAGGAAAAGTCTATCAAGATCAGGCCTAGGAAATGGAAGGAAGGGAAACCGACAAAAAGGAGGAGTTACCATTCCTAGCTGCTGATGTTTTGGGGATGAAAGAATGATCCAGGTAAAGGAGAATATATGTAGGATGATAAAGAGTACATGAAACATCAATGGCAAATAAATCAGACCTCTAAAGTACACAGGCTAAGATGAGAAAGAAATAAGTCTTAAAGGAAAGGTAAAACAAGGAGCATGTGGAAAGTGGTTTAAAAAGAGGGAAAGTGAGGCAGTAAAGGACCACATTAACATCCCAGTCCGAAAAAGCAGCCCACCATGGTGGACGACGAATCAGGAAGGAACACGTCGACCGGGAAAGTTTAGGAGAGGTCAAAACCCTATGGTATTGGGAAAAATGAAAGGTGTGGGACAAGGCCACTCGATAACCAGAGATTGAGGAAACAGAAGACACACGATCGAATAGCTATGAGGGGAAAGCTGCAATAAGAGGAACAGTGGATCAAACAGCAGCAAACTCTCGACCCAGAGACCAATGACAGAAAATGTTCCATTTACGTTGATAAATTCCATGGAGGAAGGGTGAATGGAATGGGCCAGAAATGAAGCCAGATTTCCTTACCAAGGACTGGATAAAACCAGGCATGAAGATGGAGGACATGAAGAACTGGATGAAGCACTGATGACTGAAGTTGATAAAGAAGGTAGGGAGACAGAGGAAGAGGTAATGTAGGGGTAAGTTAGAGCTGGAGAAGCCGTGAAAACCATGGCTGAACTAGCCAGTAAGGAGCAATCAAAAGGACTTGACACGGAGTGGTATGGGTGGATAAACATATAAGTATTTGTTGGTCCACTTCTGGCTGAAAGTATTGACAGCCAAAGCAAGAAGATGAGGGACCTGAGACCAAAACAGATGTAATTTGTGGTTGAGGGATGTGACAAAAGCATCTATGTGAGGAGTACCCCACTGAAGGAAAAGCCACTGGAAAACAAGAGGATCAAGAGACCATTCCATCGGATAGATTTTGTCTGGACGTGTGAGTCTTGTCTAACCACACTGTAGATCATTGACGAGGGTAGGAGGAAGGGTGGTAAGAGCCTTCAAATAATCCTGTGCAAGCTTCCACTGGTCGTAAAGAGCCCGTATATGAGCACTAGCTGTAAGAGCATGGAGAACTGAAAGCTCCATAGAATGAAGTCAAAGAGGAGAAGTTTGGTCCCGACTGAGATGGGTGTTGAAAAAATACCCAAATGAACAAGATATTGGCTAGGTTGAAGGAATTACTTCTCTCATTTGATTAGCCAGCCCATTCGAGCCGCCTCCAGGTGTAGCTGATAAGTGTGATGGGCAGACTCCTATTTGGAACAAGCTAGCAGTACCCAGTCGTCCATATAATGATGAAAGCACAACCCAGGAGCATGTAGGCTATGAGTGAATGTTCTGACCACCTGATAAACAACATTCGAGCTGAAGCAAACCCAAAGAGCAGTGCACAAAACTGATAAACCACCCGTCGATGAACAAACTAGAAACTATAGGTAC